GCCTGCTTCAGATTCTGTGGCTCCCTCTCTCTCTCTGCCCCTTCCCTGCTCATGCTCTGTCTCTTTCTGCCTCTCAAAAATAAATAAAAACATTAAAAAAATACATATATATGAAATGACTTCAGAAGTAGTGGAGTTATCGATGCTGGCATCAGGCTTAAGGGAAACAGGTAGATGCTTATTATGTCACCAATAGCATTAAAAATTGGATTATTGTACCTGGAGATTATCTAGTAATTACATATCCAAAATGTTCATACTAGAGACCTAGTAATTTCATTTGGGAGAATATATGCAAGGTAAATAAACTAAAAAAGAAAAAAGAATCAACTTGTAAAAGAAGCTCAAAATTATACTACTTACACGGGAGGGAGAAGAAAATGATGCAAACCTCCAGAGTAAGGAGATTTTTTAAGCAAAATATAGAAATCGATACTATCAAATACTACATGTAAAACACTAAACATGTGAACTCGATCCATGGGCAATGACCAGTGAGATGACTGCCAGTTACTGGCAGTTGTTGTGCCTGCTTCCCATATCTAACACTTACATTTTCTATTTTATAACCAATTCTCAATAAGCCTCCAATAAAGAATGAATCGTTCTGCAAAACAAAACAAAACAAAAAAAACACAGTTATTTCCTTATTCAATGAATTACACTTGAATTTTCCAGTGGACAAAAGAAACAAAAAAACAAACAAAAAAAAAATCCTACATTTCATTAATACTGCTATGTGTTCAGAGTCCACTTCCTACAAGTACTTTCATGCCCAATTTACCTCCTAAGAACCCTGAAACAGGAATTAAGAAATAGTCTTAAATTGGCTTCTAATAATAAAATGACTCAGTGTACCTTTTAGATGTATGGATTTTAAAGTTCATTCCAAGAGAGACAGACTGCAAGAGTGGTGTAGGGGCAGAGAGCAGGAGGAAGAGAGAATTCCAAGCAGGCTCTGAGCTGGCGGAACCCATGAAACCAGGAGATCATGACCTGAGCCGAAACTAAGAGTCAGACGCTTAACCAACTGAGCCACCCAGGCACCCCACACCAAATTTTTTATAAAACTACATTGGCTGGGGCACCTGGGTGGCTCAGTTAAGTGTCCGACTTCAGCTCAGGTCATGATCTCAGTTTGTGAGTTTGAGCCCTTCATCAGGGTCTCTGCTGTCAGCGCAAAGCCCGCTTGGGATCCTCTGCCCCCTTCTCTCTGCCCTTCTCCTGCTCATGTTCTCTCACTCTCAAAAATAAACATTAAAAAAAAAAAAAGCAACTACACTGGCTGACAGAAGTTATAGCAAAGGATTATCAGCAGGAAATAAATATCAGAATGTCTTTTATTTAAGTTTGCAATCAGAATAATACCAAGAAAAACACTTGGCTCCATAACCAACTGAAGTAAGAAAAATTACTAAATGGCTTTCACAGGGAAAAAAAATAACCCTCAGTGCAGTACAGGGATACTACCTCAAATACGGCATAATAAAAGTTTACCACAAAGTAGTAGTATTTATTGTGGCGATAGTGACAGTGGCATGATTTTATAAGAGAGAACCTTGTCGCTTTCAGCGACAAAAGTTCCTGTGAACCAGGAGCATACTTTCATCTGTGCCAAATTCCAGTTTCTATTCTTTACTGACAAGGAATAGTCCTGGATCTCATCATTCATGTCAGAGCCATGAAAATAGCAGTCCATCTAATCTCTCAAATACACAGCAAACTCATGGGTAGCAGAATAATGTCATGTTAAACCAAACTGAAACCATAACCTGTTAGCCACTGTAAGTTACTAACGTGGCCCTGACACCCTATGAGTATTTATATTCTTTAGATATGGGGGATTCTATCACTTACCACAACTTTCTTTGCCAAATCCACAATATCTTCCATCAATTCTAGATGTTGTAATTTCTTCAAACTTATCTCAGAAGCATGAGAACTGCTTAAATACAAATTCATTTTTAAAACATCAGGTTCTTATATATAAAAATTCATTGACTTTTATACTTTACTGTACATTATACCTCAATTTAAACTATTTGGAAAAAAATTCTCTCTTCACTCTAGGTAACAGTAAGTTATTTATTAAGTGGACAAAATTCTGTACTTTTTTCTCTCTTCTGTATAACAATACTCTTATTTATAAACAAGCATATTAATTTTCCCTAGGTAGGTTTCAAACCTACCATCTATGCTCTTCAGATATTCATTCATTACATTACCATGATTAGTCAATCATATCTAAATCCAAAGCATTAACTTTTTCCACCTTATTACATTACAGTGAAGGTGAACAATATATAAGAATAAGACATAAGAATAAGAATAAGGCTTCCATTGTACTTGGTGTTCCTTAATAATGGGCAACATGCTTACAACTGTTTACACAAAACAAATAACATGTAGTAACTTACCCAGCCTCCACACAAGGATGCAACCTTGATATTACAGAACTGTGCTGACGTTGAAACAGAAGTGGCCAGAAGATGTGTATTTTAATGGCATCACAGTAATCTTGCAGGACAGAAACTGGTTTACTACACCACATATTGCAGATATCAAATTCTTAATTAGAAAAAAGTACTCAATTAATATTTTGTGCCTCGTTTTGAAATAAATCAACACTGTTAATAAAGGAAAGGCTACAACAGATATGGAAAGGTAAAAAAGAAGGGGTGAGCAGGATAGGTGAAGGGCATTAGGAGGTAAAACTTCCGGTCATAAAACAAATAAATCACGGGGCTGTAAAGTATAGACAGGATGAGGGATATCGTCATCAGCAAGGTAATAACTCTGTATGGTAACATATGGTAACTATTATGGTGAGCATTTCCTAATATATATAAATGTTGTACACCTGAAACTAATAGAATACTGTATAGCAACTATACTTCAACTAAAAATATATAAATCGGGGCACCTGGGTGGCTCAGTTGGTTAAATGTCTGACATGATTTCAGATCAGGTCCTGATCTAAGGGTCGTGAGTTCAAGACCCACAGTGGGCTCTGTGCTGGGCATGGAGCCAAATTAAAAAACAAATGAGCAAAAAACAAACAAAAAAAAAAACCATAAACCAAGGTGCCTGGGTGGCTCAGTCGGTTAAGTGTCCGACTTTGGTTCAGGTCACGATCTCACGGCTTGTGGGTTCGAGCCCTGCATTGGGCTCTGTTCTGACAGCTTGGAGCCTGGAGCCTGCTTCAGATTCTGTGTGTCTCTCTCTCTGCCCCTCCCCTTTTTGCGCTCTCTCTCTGTCTCTCAAAAATAAATAAACGTTAAAAATGTTTTAAAAAGACATAAATCAAAAAATAAAAATGACAGATATGTAGGACTGGTATGTTGATGCGAATGGATGAACCTCCCATTACAGTCTTTTAACAAATTAAAATGCCAAGTTACTCACCTAAGTTTCTCTCACTTTGGGTAAAATCTTTATACTGCATCCCCTAAATAGAAAAAAATTCTTTTGATTTGTATCTGGTGAAATGCAAAAATACAGCTTTCAATTTTTAATGTAAGGATTATCAGTACTAAAGTAACAAATTTCAGTGCCCATTTACTTATACACTTTGATTACACTATCTTTGCTCAGTGGTGAGCCTTTAAGCCTTTTTTCAAAGCGTTTCATTTCTCCTGAGTCTGTATCTACGGCTCTCTCTTGAGAACCATTCTAACCTCCAGCCAGAAAACCATATTTCCTCATCACTCATTCTCTAGTATTGTACATTCTTGTTGAGGCACTGCTTACTTTCCCTTCTGAAATCACATTTGTACCTCCTGTAAAACTTGCGTACCACAGGGGCACCTGGGTGGCTCAGTCGGTTGAGCGTCCAACTTCAGCTCAGGTCATGATCTCACTGTCCGTGAGTTTGAGCCCCGCATCGGGCTCTATGCTGAGAGCTCAAAGCCTGGAGCCTGTTTCAGATTCTGTGTCTCCCTCTCTCTCTGTCCCTTCCCCACTTATATGTGCGCACGTGCGCTTCTCTCTCTCTCTGTCAAAAATAAACATTAAAAAAAATTTTTTTAAAACTTGTGTACCACAAAAACATCTTTACTCCCATAGCTCTAAATCAAAACACCTTTAAAAAGTAGACATTAAAAGTTCTCAGAATAAAAAAAGATCTTTAACTACGAACAGTAATGAACGTAGTTTTAACTAAACTTACTGTGGTGATAATTTCACGACACGTACGTATTTCAAGTCATTATATTGTACATGGGAAACTAATACAATGTTTTAGGTCAATTGTACCTCAATAAAATGATAAACCTTTAAGAAGACACAATGTTAGGGGGACCTCGGTGGCTCAGTTGGCTAACTATCCGACTCTTGATTTCGCCCCAGGCCATGATCTCACGGTTCCTGAGATCCAGCCCCACATCGGGCCCAGGCTGTTATCACCGAGCCTGCTTGGGATTCTCTTTGTCCCTCTCTCTCTGCCCCTCCTCTCACTCTCTCTCTCTCAAAATAAAGAAAAAAACATTAAAAAAAAAAAAAAAAAGAAGAAGAAGACACAATGTTAAAGAATCAATAAATCTTACCACCCCATTGCAGTAAAGTTGAGTCACGCGAACACAATCATCGGACATAAATTCAGGAGCAAGGACACAATCGTCCACATAAGGGCAATCTTCTAACAAGGCATCATCTACTACAGTGAAATCTCCCAGGGCAAAATCATCCATGCTGTACCATCCTAAGGAAATAACACAAACCCAAATTAGTAATTAAATCATTTGAGATAATATGAGAAGCAGTTTTCCTGGCTTCTATGGTATATTAGAAAAATCCTTGGAACTTAGGCCTCCTCAAAATAATCAATAAGGACACTGAGCTCTGGAAGATTCTCATCCTCAGTCTGCTATTCTTTCCCCAACTCTCCTCAAATGATCAGTTTATCTTTCTTTTCTTCCTTAGACTCACATAGTCACCATCTCTACTCTGAATTTATCTGTTTGCATGTCTCCCTTAGCTGGGAGATAATTAAGGGCATTTTACTCACTTTTGTATGTGCCTGGCACATGGTAAGCCCTCAAATAATTGTTTGCTGAATGAACAAAAGACATCTTTCCACTGCTGCCCTTCTACACCATCTGCTTTTACTGCATCCTATAAAATATGCCATTTCATCACACACAAACTCTACCATATTCTCAACCTCCTGGCCAGAAGTAAATCCTGACTCCACTGAGAAAATGGTGTCTTACTGGCTGTTCATATTCTGCTATCCATCCCTCCGTGTGTGTTCCTGTCTTGGACAAAGAGGCAGAGCTGGAGTGGTCCTGGGTGAGACTGTCAATCTCCCAACTTCCCACAGCCGCATCCAGACTTCCATCCTCCTAACAATCACTGCATCTCTCACTCTCACAACTACCACACCACAGAGCACTGCTAGATTGCAAAGGTAGGCAAAAACCCTCATATTATCAACAGCCTCGTATTATCAAACATATTAACTATGTTTTAAAAAGAATCATTTCAATGGGGGGAGAGGGAAATTAGGGCTGGAGCTTCTGACTAAGGCTTTTTTCCAGAAGAAAGTTCAATAATAAAGATTTATAGCTCTCAGAGATTAGCTACAAAACCTAAGTTATCACTGAAAAATGCAGCATGGTAGTACTTGTAACTCTCGCCCATGTAACGGCCATCTTTCCCTCTCCTCACCAGCACCATCATGAACACCGTTTCTTACACCTTTCCACTTCACCACTATCACCCCGCTCCTGTTAGGACAAACAAAGCTTCTTTTTTCCTAAGCAAGACCACCGTCAGTCCTTGAAATACAAACCTGTTCTTTTAATTCTTCTTGTGTCCAATTCGCTGTACGAAAACCTCACAGTAGCAGAAGTGAAGAACAAGAACCATCTTCCTAGCAAACTATTCATGCTATTTGTCACACGTTGTACCAAACATTTTCACATACACCATCTCATTCATCCTCGCAGCAATTCTCAGGTCTGATCATCACCTCCAGTGTGCAGATAAGAAGCATGCTTAGTAAAATTAAGTAATTTGCTCAAGGTCACCAAGCTAGAAGGATTTAAACTTAGGTCCTCTGATTCCATAGTCTCTCCTCTCACACACTCTTCCTTGTCACTGCCACCTAGCCAGTTCTTGCTTGTTGCCATGTTTAAGAACACTGGCAATCATCACAGTGTTCCCCTCTCTCCTCCAAACTCTCACCAACCCAGCCACACCAAGGCCTGTATACACGATCCCTTTAGGACCCCAGCCTTACCATTCACCTCTTTGGCTAAAATGATCTTCACCACCTGTGACACCAAGGCTCTTCCTTCCCAAGGCTACACCCTAGATCACTGTGCAGGTTTAAGCCAGTTTTTAAACCTTTAACTTTGATTAGCTCCTTTCTGACCACAACCAAGAGTCATACAGCTCTTGTGTCCCCTGCCTCCTACCACAGACATTCTTCATCAAGAATTCTTCCTCCCTTTTCTCCCATTCGAATCCTTTCAGCTTTCCGCAACTGGCTTTCCACCTCTGTTATTCAAGGAAAACTGCTTACAACAAGGTCATTAATGACCTTCTACAAGAGACTGATGATCTATTATGTCTGGAACCTGAACTGTCTGTATGAACAAGGTTTCCAGAGTTTGGAGAATTTAACTCCAAAAGCGAATGACTGGAAAAAAATAGACATTTTAGCACCCATGGCACATAAAGTGGGACATATGCTATCCTGGAAAATATATACACTTTTTAATTCATTTGCCTTACAAACATTCTGTGTGTGTAGAGCCAAGAACTCTCTGTCATAGCCCACACATCGCCATCACGGCATCGGTTATAATCCAATTAATGTGCTCATACCCAGGAGACTGAGCCACTGTGACAGCATGCTGGTCATTCACAGCCTGGCAGATCTCACTGACATCACACCTGACTCACCACACCCTATACCAACTATTCTATGATTAGACACTCGTGTAATTTTTATTTTCTATCTTGTTTTAACCAAAGAGGCAATATGGCACAGTGGTTAATTAAGAGCATGGACTCTGGAACCAGACTGCCTGGGCTTGAATCCTGGCTCCCTCATTTCCTGAGTGTGTGATCTTGGGCGAGTCACTTAACCTCTCTGTTCTTCGCTTTCCTCACATTTCCAATGGGGATAGCAATACTACCTATTTGGTTAACCAGTAACACATTTATAGTGCTTAGAATAGTACATGGCATATAGGAAATATTATAAATATCAGCTATTGTTAACATTAGTATTAGATGCATATTTTTAAAAATCCACTGTTTGGATGCTTCCAGCTAAACGGTCTACCTTAACTGCTAAGTCCAAAGAGCACTTTTCAGCTTACAACTTACTTGACGCTGTTGACCACTTCCTCCTTCTCAGAACTCTTCACATGGACTCCAAAGACCATCTTCTCCTGGTTTTCCTCCTATTCTTCTGGCTGCTTTTCCTCAGTTTCCATGGGCTCTTCTTCTCCATTCCCCGCCACCCAAATGTCACCTCTCTTTTTTTTTCAGGCTTACTCTCTCCTCGGTGACCTCATCCACCATACCCATGGCTTCAAAATAGTACTTTCTGCACTTCCATCATTTGCACAGCTTCACCATGATTTTTGCCATTTCCACATATCGCATGTATTTTTATTTATTTAGTAGTTCTCTTTTATTGGGCTCACTTGGCCTAAGTGGTAATATCCATGATATCATAGATTTGAGATACAATTTACATTTTTCATACACATTAAGTTCTTAACTATTACAGAATCCATGTGCCACTTTAAACTATCTCAAACTGCACTGAAGCAAACAATGGCTGAAACGGCCAGATGCTGAAGTCTCTAATTTCTCCAGGCTGCACTGCATCTCTATAGTCCCTGTCAACAAGATGTCCCACAAGTTTCTCAGATTAAGTTCAAAAATAAACTTATCTTTTTCTTCAAAAACAAACAAATGAAACAAAGTTCTCTCCTCTTTCCGTGTGTTACCAGTCAACTGTTCTACATGCCACATGGTTAAGCAAACCGGTGATCCGGAGGCCATCTGGACTCCCCAGTCTCTCTCAACATTCCTATCCATCTGACCACAAAGTCCTGTCATTTCTACCCACCTATGAAATCTAAAATTAGCACCCATACACCTGTTCATGCCAATGACACTACCTTCATTTTCGCTTCATCTTTTCTTCTCTGAACTAACTTAACAAGCAGACTCCCAGCTGGTGATTTGCCTTCAAACTTGGCACTCTCTAAAACTCTGACCATAACATTTTACTGCTTAAAATCATTCAATAGCTTCCCTTCACCTTCAGAATAAAGTCCAAACTTCGTACTGCAGCTTGGAAGGTCTTTAATAATCCTGTTTCTGCTTTTATTTCCAGTCACTCCGCAACATGCAACACAGAAGACATTCATACTCAACTGCCTCTGATTCATAAACAAACCTTGTTCTACAACCACCTAAGGCCTACCAGTCTGGGAAGCATTTCCTGATCTTCTCACTACTACTACCAAGTTCCTTTCTGCACCTCTTCTCCATAAGCCCAGAGCGCCCTGCCCACATCTTTTTGACAGCAGTTCTCACACTGGTCATCACAGGCTTATCTTTGTAGGCTGAGAGGGTACACTGTGCCCTATTCATCTTGATTCCCTAGCTCAGTACTTGCCAAATTTTTTATTCAAGCTCCCTAAGTAGAAAACTTTGCTAAATCCACTTGCTACCTCTACTACTGTTATTCAATATTTTTTTGAGAATAACTCAACTTTTAACTCAGATCTAAGCTTGTTTTAATAGAAAATTTGATACCACAAGAAACCTTACACTTGGAAGGACTTTTTTTTTTTTTTTCTAATACACTCAAGTAAGAATGTAAAGGACTTCTAAACCCATCAGTTACAATGAACTAATAGGGGACTCTCACTGCAAAACAAAGTAGATCCTCGATTCTAAAATTTTTTAAATTTTGCTGAGCTTATAGAACTAGGAATGTCTAAAACCACCCTTTCCCCCCAAAAGCAACAAACCTCTGGCTAAAAACTAAAGCTGAAAGTCAAGAGCTACAAGTAGTATTGCCAAGAGCAGCAACGGACACAGCCCTGGGCCAGAAGCAAAGTGAAGACACCGAAAGTGGTCCAATGTAAACTCCCTGGCTCCCAACCAAACATGATACAAATCCTATCAGAAGAAAAGGGCCTCCAAATCAAACTTTCAAGATCCCACGGAGAAAGATCAATCAAAGAGTTCATAACCAAAGATCATCAAGCATAGGAGGTGACAACCCAATATGAGAGATAGACAACAGAAAAAAACAAGGAATAAATTTAGATCCCTAAAGACATCAGACATTGGGACTGCCAGATACAGTCCACAGAATACCCATGGGTTCAGAAAAATGACAAAGCAACATGAAAGAAAGACTTGATGTATCTGAAAAAAGAACCAAGTAGAACTTTTACAAATAAAAAATATAACGGTTAAGAGTAAAAGGGAAAAAATGGACGCATTATAGAGAAGATTAAGCACAGATGAAGAGAAATGGATGAACTAGAAGATATGGCTGATAAAATTACCCAGCACTGTAAATTCTGATAGGGAAACAAGGAAATGAAAACTATGAAAGGTGAAAAGTACCTAACCTGGAAACAGTTCAATACATACACATTCAACTAAATTTCCAAAGAGACAATATTTATTACAAGGCTCAGAAT